GATGACAATGAATGCCTCCAGCTTTTCTCGTAGGGCAGCATTGGAATAGATTGTCTATGGGAAGCATTAAGTTGACGGAATATAGCAGTTTCTGCTCATGCACCCTTCACTATGATCCACTTTGGGATGAAGAAAAGTCACCATGCACCCAAAAGACACATCATGTTGAAAATGTATGCTCCCAGCTTGATCCACAATGGTGTAAAATGAGACTGTGACCAGAAGACCCGTTAAAACAAACTTGTTTTTCATGTTTGTTTTTTTTTCCATTTTCTAATGATCTATTTACATGATTCATTAGAGTGATAAATGCATTAAAAGCACCTAAAGGTAGGATTGTTTTATTACCCATTAATTCATCATAGCTGATAGGTCTATTTTAACACTATTTATATTTGGGTTTAACAATGGTGTCCTCAAATAACCCAAACAAGCCTGCTTTTAGCAGAGCGTGGCATATCAACCGGACACATAATAGATGGTATTCTGTTTGATATGTTTTGAGTATTAATTTGAATTACATTATAAGGATTATTAGCTAAAGTATGAATTTTAGCAAACTGAAATCTAAATGTAAAATTGAGGCCAAAATTGCTGATGTGGAGATATTCTCCATACCCGATATAGTCCGAGCTTGGCTATTTTAGTGTTTTGTTTTGGCTTTCCGATTTCAGTCGGTACAATTTAAGAGTTTAGTGAATAAAGCCCACTAAATCTATATTTATGGCACTTGGGACAGAATTGCTGTATAGTACAAAGTAAACTGAGAATACATGATATTGGGGGGAAATTTAATATTTTTAATATAAATGATCAAAGAAAGACACAACAAGCCGGTTCTGTAGGGCATGCCAAGGGAAAAAGTTCTTACAAGAATCTGCATCAACAAACCTTATTGCACCATGCAAAATGGACAACAAACTGGAGATTGTCAGGAACAAGCCATTTGTCACTTATCTGTGCAATGTCCTCAATATTTTCACTTAAAGGGTTACTTCAAGCACTGTGAACAATGGTACAGAATTGATGTGGTTATGGTGCCTGGAGTCTGTTTGTACAGCATTTCACTGTGAAACGCTGCACATACTAAGTTTAACCTCTTTGCAGACGGAGCTGTAACTCCACCTCTGGCAGCATCATGGGACGTCGCTGACCATCCTGGACAGGCTAATGTTCGTACTGTGCAAATTTCGATGCACAAACACTCCATCATTGGTTAAGATACGGCAGCTGACTCTCTCCGCCAATAAATGAGCGGCAGGATTGACATATGGCTTCTGAATTACTGAGAAGACTGAATGCCCAGCAGGACCTGATAAAAGGACAAATCGTTGTTAAATGGTTCGCCCCATTGCAGTCAAATGTTGCCAGGAACTCCTACCATCATAACCACAATATTTGATTGAGCTGTTTTAATATTTTACATTGCAGGGTTAAAACCAAAGGTCCACTGCACTCAAACCACTTAATTGAGATGAAGTGGTCTTAGTGCCTTTAGTGGTCCTTTAATGGTTTCAAAGTTTTTTTTTTTGTTCTTTTCATTGGTACATATCAATAAAGGGATAAGCTACATAACCACTTTAGCTTGTTCTAGTCTAGTGTTTATGTTGCCTAGAGCAGTGGTTTCCAGTCGTTTAAAAAAAATAAAAAAAATTCTTTGGAACAAGTCGCTATTTTATTTACAAAAGGGGATAAGAAAAATCTAGCAGCACAGTTTGATTGTAGTTTGGTTAGCAGACTATAGAGCTGGGATTGTAATAGCACATACCATGCCATTTTTGGATAATAGATTCATTTTAAAAAAATACACTGTTAGCTGGCAGATGCTGAAATAATAATGTCTTTTAAATTGACCTTATTTGTGTGCATGTAATTATTGTTTTATTTAAGTTTACCGTATCTTTAACAACCTTCCCCCCTATGCTCCCAGTTACCATGAACTCACCAAATCACATAACCATTTTTCCAGCTGCATTGAGAATAGAGAAGGAGGGGAGACGGCAGGCTTGAGGGAGTTGCTTTTAAATTCTGCTTAGTAACTACATGCGTTTCAGAGACTATTTTGGTGTATTCGTACAGCACAGTATCTGGCTGCTCTAAGCAACCAGAGAACCTCACCTCATTCTCAGTGACATCATAATTAGGTCTCTTGTTGGGCTGGGGAGCTGCACAAATGTCTGAGTCTTCACAGTCTACAAATATAAACTGGAGTAATATTCTCTTTTGTCTTCAATGGCTCTTTCCAACACCATCGACCTGCTACAGCCAAGTCCTGATTAAACCAATCTGGCCCCTATATGCAAAAACACAGGTGGCCAAAAAAGTAGATCCTTCAAATCCCATAGTGCTTTGGCAGCCTTAGTTCTACAATTGTCCTACTATAGTCTACCCCTGATAAAGACAACTCCTACTTACACATTTAAAGGGAAACTATAAGCTAGGAATACAAAAAGGGTTAGCGCAGTGCAGAAAGGGTTAAAAAACTTTTGTCACTTACTTGAGTCCAGTGCTGGGTCAGTCCCGCCTTCGCCCGTTCTCTGCTGACAGCACTGAATCAATGCATTCATATAAGGGTTTTAGCTGCTGCTGGATGACCTCATGAATAGCAACCAAAAGTCTCCTAATTACCCAAAAGCACCTCTAGTGGCTGTAATTATTGCAGTTTCTCAAGAACTGCAATAATTACGTTTGCAGGGTTAAACTGGCAGGCACCGTGCACCCAGACCACTTCAATGAGTTGAAGTGGTCTGGGTGCCTATAGTGTTCCTTTTATCGGACACAATGGCATAGCAATATAATCATTTATTTAGACTTGGATTCTGCGTATTAGTCACACGTGTCAGTCTATGCTATGCACATCAAAGTTGGATTGGCTACTTTTAAATCATCTGTCCACATTCAAGACACATGTATGGCGTGTATACTATCCCACAATGCATAGCATTTACATTTAGAGTGGCTGCATTCATACTTATATACACTAGCTATCATTTTTTCTGGTGCTGATGACCAATAGGTTTACAAGCTGACTAATATATTATCTGTTTTTATCTGTACGTGTGATGTACATTTGGCAATATATTGATAGAATTTGCCTCTCTGCAAACCTATGTTATGTTTGATGGTGAGCACATTTGGCATTGAGCACAATTTGATGCTTGTAAGCTTCAGAAGATAAAAGGTCACCATTTTTTATTTTGGGAATTAAAAGTAAGATTGGATACAACAAAAATGAGTAGAAATGACAAATTTTATGATCTCACTTCACGCTTTCAGCAGTTCATGTACTGCAGATGTGCTGTTCCCCTCCACCCCCAAACTTATTTTTATTTTTTATTACCAGTACTCCATATACAAGGTCAACAATTAACATAAAAACAATGTAAATACACATGTGCAGTATGTAAGTGATTAAAATGTCTGTAGTAAAACTACATTTAACTGAAAGGAGAAAAAGGGAGGGTGCAAGGAAACGGTAGGGTGATTAAATATAAGGGAGGACAGAATAAAATAAATCACATAAGGTAAACAAACAAAAAATAATTGAAAGGTTTTATTTATTATACTAGAGGCAGAAAGATTTAACATACACCACTCAAAATACTCCATTTACATTTTATTTTTGTTGTGTGTGTGTGTGTGTGTGTGTGTGTGTGTGTGTGTGTATATAAGAGAAATACAGATCTCTACTCAAGCAAACAGACTTGTTCTGTAGAGTGTGATGTGTGATGGCAAACGATGCTGATCAAGTCTGGTGTATTAAAACGACACTCGTAGCAACATCACTGCAATCACTACAGGGAGCTGTGTCCTGGTGCTGTCCCCCTGTGTTAGTGTCAAACTGGTTAGAAAGGGTTTAACATAAATCAGAGCACTGCCTGGGGACCAGCCCCTCGTCTGCCACTTTGATAATGCAGAATTTACACGGGTGCATAATCAATGTCTATTTCGTTCATGCTGGAAGACATTGAATGGCTTATCACTATGTAGTTATAGCCAAACTGTGGCGCGTCACATACCTACAGGGTGCATGTTGACAATGATGGGTTGCTTTAACCTAACCCCAACACTCTCAGCCAAATGACCCCGTCCAGATAAACAAAATAGAAGACAGCTGGCTCCCCTGCCTGGTTTTCCTTTTAAATTCTAACTGGAGAGAGAACACTCTTAATTACCATAAGCACAGAAATAGAGGTGCTACTTCCCTACATCACATTTTCACAGAAATAGAGGTGCCTAGTACCTACATAAATTGATGTACGTGAAATCGGACAGTGTACTCTTGAAATAGGTAATAAACCTGTTGAATATCTTCTTCTGTTTGTAGTGAACAGTAAAGAAGCTCTGGGAAAAAAATTAAGTAGATTGGACTCTATTGTCAAAGCCTGTCCAGTACAGGTGACTCGTACATGGACGGCATGTCACAGTGGCAATATGCAGAGCGAAGGATCAGGCCACTGGCATATGGAGAACCTTTGTGTCAAACAGCTCAAATCGTTTGACTTAGAACTGGGGGGACAGTGTCAGTGTCAAGCTGGTACCATAACCACTGTAGCGGGCGGCAGTGGTTCAGCTGCTTAGAAGTGCCCCTTTTAAGCAGGAAAGCGCATGCTGTACTAACAATCTTTGTATGAGAAATTAACCCAAAGGTGAATCAAATCATTTATTTTTTTTTCACTACAAACAAAACAAGAATGGAATGTAATAGTTCTTGAAAAATTCCTATAAAGGAAACTATATATATTGAAGGTCACAGAGAGGTCTATGAATTAGAATAACTGATTGTTGATGGTTTGTGTAGATTAAATAATAATCACATATCTTCCACATTCCTCATGAATGCTCGAGCTGTTTACAAGTATATAGTTTATCGAGATACCAATAGTTGCACCAGAACGATCCAGTAGAGTAAAATAATATAAGGAGGTAGTGATGTCCCGAACGGTTCGCCGCAGACGGCGAACATATGCGGTAAACTTTGACCCTGTACCTCACAGTCAGCAGACACATTTCAGCCAATCAGCAGCAGACCCTCCCTCCCAGACCCTCCCACCTCCTGGACAGCATCCATTTTACATTCATTGTGAAGCTGCATTCTTAGTGAGCTGTCCAGGAGTTGGGAGGGTCTGGGAGGGAGGGTCTGCTGCTGATTGGCTGGAATGTGTCTGCTGACTGTGAGGTACAGGGTCAAAGTTTACTGCATATGTTCGCCGTCCGCAGCGAACCGTTCGGGACATCACTAATAAGGAGTAAATAAATAAGGAGATATGCCAAAAAATAAGCTGTGTAGCAGATACAAAAAAGAAAAATTAGATCCACAATTTAAAAAGCCCACCGCTAGCAATATCAAACCTTAAAAGTAATCGGTCTCTTAGCAGACATGTTTCGACCTCCCATGGTGGTCTTCTAAGTGCTTAAGCACTATTTGGGACCTCGATTGGCCTGTGTAGACACCTTTGAGCTTAAAGGGATCCTATAGTGCCAGGAAAACAAGGCCGTTTTCCTGACACTTCAGCCACTCACCTGAATCCAGCGCTGGTGTCCCTCGCTCCTCCCCGCCGACGTCAGCCAATGGCCGGGTGCGCATTAGATTAAAAAAGCATTATTCAATGCATTTCTATGGGAAAAATGTGCCGTGGTCCGTGAGGATTCCGGAAGCCCTCTAGTGGCTGTCTGTTAGGCAGCCACAGAGGGCAGACTTAAAGGACCAGCTTAATGACGTGGTCTGGGTGCCAGGTCTATCTAGGATTAAACCTTTTTTCTGTAAACATAGCAGTTTCAGAGAAACTGCTATGTTTACCTATGGGTTAATCCAGCCTCAAGTGGCTGTCTCATTGACAGCCGCTAGAGGGCTTCCGCGCTTCTCACTGTGGTTTTCCACAGTGAGAAGACGCCAGCTTCCCTAGGAAAGCATTGGTAATGCTTTCCTATGGACTGGCTGAATGCGCGCGTGGCTCTTGCTGCGCATGCGCATTCAGCCGGTGACGGGAGGAGAGCTCCCCACCCGGCGCTGTAGAAAGAGGTAAGTTTAACCCCTTCCACCCCCTAGAGCCCGGCGGGAGGGGGACCCTAAGGGTGGGGTCACCCTCAGGGCACTATAGTGCCAGGAAAACGAGTATGTTTTCCTGGCACTATAGTGGTCCTTTAAAGCTGCAATGTAAACATTGCAGTTCTCTGGAACTGCAGTGTTTTACATTGCAGCACTAATTGCAAAAGGGTCCCAGCACCCAGGCCACTTCAATGAGCTGAAGTGGTCTGGGTGCCTACAGGGTCCCTTTAAAATACAGAGCCTGATACAGCTCTGCATCATGTGAGTTTGGCTCCATCTGTATATTATTGTACATATATAACAGTTCTACGCTATGTTAGTGTAACGGACCGTTTCTCTCAAACGGGGATAAATCCGTTTAGGCGATAATCCCCTTTCCCATAGACCAGCAGCTATTGCAATCACCAACCTCCCGAACTCCAAACTGTACGAATCCCCAACTCACGAACAAGAAATACACGAACTCTGGAAGCAGCCGAACAGGAAAAGCAATACGAACGGCTTACACTCCTGGCAGTCAGCACACAATCCAATTCCCCCAATAACGAGACGACACTTCGTTTTGAGGGTTAAGCAGAATCTCCAGTGCTGGCACACCCAGCCTGGTTTTTATTACAATCCACAAAACATAGTACAGCCCACAGGGCGTTACAAAACAACCAATCACATCACAGTTACATCCCACATATTCCCTCCCCTTATCCTGAGAGGAAACTCAATTATACATACAGTTAAAACATACTTTCTACCCAACTTTCATAACTCCAAAACCATACATCACATTCACATAAAATTACATATTCACAATCAATCCATTCAGGGGAACAACATATTCAAAAATGGCACACATCAGACAAGGGGTTCAAAAGTTAGTAAAAAGTCCTTTGTGACTAAATGAAGCATGGCTTTCTGGCCCAAACCAGTTTCAGAGTCTTCTATCCTGGAGATAAGTAATTCAATTATCTCCCAGGATAGACACAGACTCCATTAAGCACATGGTTGCAAAAAGACACAAAACACTTTAAAATACATAAAGTCACCTTTACACATAACACACAGACATTTCACATATCCCCAGATAGCTCAGGTCTGAGCGCACATTATTAAGTGAATGGCGCTCAGACCACACGAATACAGTTTAATCGCCATGGAGCCAAAGTCTTTACAGTCAGTTTCATACAAATGGGCTCCATGGGATTCCTATCTGGGGTATAACACATTCAAACACATCTACCGAACCCCAGGCAGAAAAGCACGAATACAGCTTTTCTGCAGGCAAAAATAAAGTCTTTTAAAAGGGGGCCATAGTCAGATGGCAGGAGGCTGGCAACCAGGCTTCTCCAGTGCACAGTGGCGAGGTGGTTTCGCCACACTTCTCCCCTTTACCAATCAGACTAACAGGGTATCTGACCTCCTGCCGGTCAGTGCCCTTGTTAGTCCAGCAGCCCACCCACAAAACACAATTAGTAATACAGCCCACCCACAATAACTGGCTACTACACCTGGGTAGAGGAGAACTTTGTCCGTGTCCAGGTGCCTCACCATGGCTGTGTGGGTGACTGGTCAGCGTACTGGGTGGGTTGCTGAGTGGGCAGAGACCAGCGGTACTCTGTCCTGGTGCCAGCACTACCACGGGAGTAGTCTGGTTGGAGCCTGGTTGCTGGAGGGGGGGACAGACTGTCTCCCCTTTGCCTAAACAGTCCTGCTGCTGGGGGACAGGACCGACTGTTCCTACCCCCGGTGGTGCATGTGCAGCGACTACTGTCCCATCTGCACTGTTGTGGAGATTACTGTCTCCCCTTGGTGGGCTAAGTTGCCGCTGGGGAGAGGGTGTAACAAGCTCCTCTCCCATACATACTTTCAGCCGCTGGGGAGAGGGGATAACAAGCTCCTCTCCCTGACACACTCTCTGCTGTTGAAGGGGGAGACCGACTGTCTCCCCTTTCAATAATTCGTCCTGTTGCTGGAGAAAGGTGATAACTGGTTCCTCTCCCTGGAACACTCTCTGCTGTTGGAGAGGGGGAACAACTGTCTCCCCTTTTAATATATTGTCCTGCTGCTGGGGAGCGAGACCGACTGTCTCCGCTTCCTGCAGGACACACTGCCGCTGGGGAGGAAGGACGGCACCTTCTGCTCCCTGGAACACACACTGCCGCTGGGGAGGAAGGACGACACCTTCAGCTCCCTGGGACACACACTGCCGCTGGGGAGGAAGGACTGCACCTTCAGCTCCCTGGGACACACACTGCTGCTGGGGAGGAAGGACGGCACCTTCTGCTCCCTGGGGTACACACTGCCGCTGGGGAGGAAGGACGGTACCTTCAGCTCCCTGGGATACACACTGCCGCTGGGGAGGAAGGACGGCACCTTCTGCTCCCTGGGACACACACTGCCGCTGGGGGGGAAGGACGGCACCTTCTGCTCCCTGGGACACACACTGCCGCTGGGGGGGAAGGACGGTACCTTCAGCTCCCTGGGATACACACTGCTGCTGGGGAGGAAGGACGACACCTTCAGCTCCCTGGGATACACACTGCCGCTGGGGAGGAAGGACTGCACCTTCTGCTCCCTGGGGTACACACTGCCGCTGGGGAGGAAGGACGGCACCTTTAGCTCCCTGGGATACACACTGCCGCTGGGGAGGAAGGACGGCACCTTTAGCTCCCTGGGGTACACACTGCCGCTGGGGAGGAAGGACGACACCTTCAGCTCCCTGGGGTACACACTGCCGCTGGGGAGGAAGGACGACACCTTCTGCTCCCTGGGGTACACACTGCCGCTGGGGAGGAAGGACGGCACCTTCTGCTCCCTGGGACACACACTGCCGCTGGGGAGGAAGGACGGCACCTTCTGCTCCCTGGGACACACACTGCCGCTGGGGAGGAAGGACGACACCTTCTGCTCCCTGGGGTACACACTGCCGCTGGGGAGGAAGGACGGCACCTTCTGCTCCCTGGGGTACACACTGCCGCTGGGGAGGAAGGACGACACCTTCTGCTCCCTGGGGTACACACTGCCGCTGGGGAGGAAGGACGACACCTTTGCTCCCTGGGGTACACCTATGAGTCCCCGTAACGCACTCTGCCTCCGGATAGGGCGGCTGATACCTTTGGCTGGATCTGCCATGAACTCCAGGTACTCGTCTACCTGGCTCCTTACGAACTGCACGTATTTCTCCGGGGGGTTGGGTCCAAAGAAAGCCAGCCGCATAGCAAACTCTCTGTCATACTGCTCCTGAGTGTAGCTAGGTGCCATGCTTGCGCTGCTGAAGTTGGTTCTTTTGTCGATAGGGTCGCTGTACGTGTACTGGCGTTGCCCTCACTTTGTAATCCAAGGAATGGTGTTGCCCTGTAGCTGTCTTTCTGGTTGTAGGAACGATCCCACCGCTTGCCACCAATTGTAACGGACCGTTTCTCTCACAAGGGGATAAATCCGTTTAGGCGATAATCCCCTTTCCCATAGACCAGCAGCTATTGCAATCACCAACCTCCCGAACTCCAAACTGTACGAATCCCCAACTCACGAACAAGAAATACACGAACTCTGGAAGCAGCCGAACAGGAAAAGCAATACGAACGGCTTACACTCCTGGCAGTCAGCACACAATCCAATTCCCCCAATAACGAGACGACACTTCGTTTTGAGGGTTAAGCAGAATCTCCAGTGCTGGCACACCCAGCCTGGTTTTTATTACAATCCACAAAACATAGTACAGCCCACAGGGCGTTACAAAACAACCAATCACATCACAGTTACATCCCACATATTCCCTCCCCTTATCCTGAGAGGAAACTCAATTATACATACAGTTAAAACATACTTTCTACCCAACTTTCATAACTCCAAAACCATACATCACATTCACATAAAATTACATATTCACAATCAATCCATTCAGGGGAACAACATATTCAAAAATGGCACACATCAGACAAGGGGTTCAAAAGTTAGTAAAAAGTCCTTTGTGACTAAATGAAGCATGGCTTTCTGGCCCAAACCAGTTTCAGAGTCTTCTATCCTGGAGATAAGTAATTCAATTATCTCCCAGGATAGACACAAGACTCCATTAAGCACATGGTTGCAAAAAGACACAAAACACTTTAAAATACATAAAGTCA